TATCGCTCGCAACCAGGGCCCAGCAGGGCGTTCTACGCGGAACCACAACGTAATATTTCTGCTGTTTGACATCGTTGCTTCTTCCAGCCAAATATGCTACTGAGAAAATACTCGCTATTACCCCAATTAAATAGGGCGAAAGTGTTTATTGTCGAAGTACGAAGCTGTATTAGTCCATTGTCTTTGCGTAAGCACTGACACGTTTCCATTCACACCTGATTTGGCTCACAGTACCGGACGCTGATGACGCTGACTAACAGATTCGCACGTGTATTAACAAGCTAAAAGAAAGAGTAACAGGAAATGCCACAGAGTAGCGGGCAATCTCTCAGAGTAGCGGCATAAATAATGGAGTAGCGGCCCCGCTACGCTAAAACGCTTTGGGGAGAACACTGTCTGGCACATTGTGAACGAAAATTATCTTTTGGTCAATTTTTCGAGTGGGATGCTCAACTACCCCCCCCCCAAATGATTTTGTGAGCCGAGTACCCTGATCGGATGAGTACGGTAATTTAACTCGTCTGTGAAACTAAAAAACATACCTTGGGCAAATGATGATTCTCTACCCTTCTTGTACTGTGTTACTTTGAATAGATTGTGCACCTTGCACTTCCTGCAATAAGTGCGGCGTGTCTTGGGTACATTCACCTGAAAGTTAATTACAACAGTTACAAATACTTTGTTAATCAATAAAACTCTGATCACTTATTTGAAAATATGCACAAACATGCAACCCTTAAAACATAATTTGTATAAGCTTGTATAGACTAAATTTTTCATTCTTGGTTGTACTGTGTACAGTCAGCCAATCATAGTCAATGCCAGACAGTCTTGATAACAAAGCTTTTTATTGGTACATCAATATTATATCAACCAGGGGATTACCATCAGTCAATTTTATCTCTTAATTTCTAAATATAGATGGCCACAGACTTTTTTATTTGCTAGACATAGTTGACATAAATGATTGGAATTGGAATGATAGACCAAGTGCTCTTGCTGCATGTGGCTCACTTGGCAACCTACGACAAGAGACTGAAACAGAGTCATGATTACCCGATGACAAACAAAATAATCCCACCAAAATGCAGCAAGACCAAGAAACTACAAAATAGCAGCTACACTACATTCAGCCAATATGCCTTTCCACCAGTACATAAATTATTGCAAATTGCTGGGAAAATAATAATTTGAGTAATTTGGTAAAATTCTAAATAAGTGTAAAAACAACAGAATATTGTAATAACATTTGTTTGTCGATAAATAAATACAACGCGATGGCAACGTGAAAAACCGGTGAATTATTATTAATCAAAAGTCCAATAAACAATACATTACAAAAACCAAAACTAATAAATACAACGTCTAAAATTAGGCGCTGGTTGAAGTTATACAACTCCTTCCGCTTGCGAGATTGAAAGTTTAAAATATTTCTATTCATACTATTACTACTAGCTGTTTTACTTATGGAAAATACCATGTGTACCAAATTATACAATTTTAACGCAACCAGTCTTCAATATCTTTCGATATTATATATATTTCTAGCCACATTACTGATTCAGCAACAACTTCTACTAGTTCTAGTTTGTATTATGGACGCGACAGTAAAGTGCCTGTAGTATTTTAAAAAGTCATATTTTTCATTAAATAACGGAACTTATTGATAGACGGATAATTCATCTATCACATGCGGGTCAAGAATTGCTGAAAATCTGTAAGAAAAGGGAGGATGGATGCGATTTTGGTTATTATTTTCATAAACACCATACCCACCATTTTGAATCCAGATACAAAAGGTCAAACCTTGTACAGCTCGTACAGCTCCGCATGCGCAAAGGTCATCGACAACGCCCTCTTGAGGCGGACAGTGGTAGTGGTAACTTCCCGGAAGTACTAGTAGTGAGACAGTGGTGCAAGAACGACGCTCGCCTTTTTCATGGTTTAAAAACAAACTGTTGATATTCGATAAAAAGGAATCTTATTTTTGTCACGTCGATTGGTACACCCACAAGCACAATATCACGAATTCACGTTTACGTTACATCTCAAACGGTATGCGCGCGCATGCGAAACGCCGTATCTTCGACTTCCGGGAAAGTGGTCTATTTCTATACGACGCCTACTTTTATGAGACCTTGTCCAAATTGTAATTCGATGTTCAATTAACAGTTAACAGGACTTCGAGTTAAGGGCACTAATGAATTCAATTACTCAGTAATTGTCTATTTTTCAATATATAGTACTTCTGGGCAATATAAAAATATTGACTTAAAAAACAGTCACCAGCTTAATTTTCGAAAATGATGGTTGTATTTTAGTGGATAGTAGAAGGTGTGATCGTAAGCAGAGTGGATATGGTGGTCAAACTAAAGTCATTTTCCGTAAGAAAGTAAGCATATAACACACAAAAGAATGTTATTTTATGGTGGCGTGGGACAATACTAGTAGCTCCATGATTTTACATAATAGACCATTGAGCATTGTCATACGATTTGTGATCAACTTTCAAAAAAAATAATATATAGGCTTCTACCTTAAGTAACAGTTAACCAAACATCGAGTTACAGGCAACAGCTGTTAATACAACTCAAATTTAATTTCCCAGACGATATTCATTACATAATACTAGTAGTTTCAATAAAAACAAAATGTTTTCTATTGTTAACTCTTTCTTCATAGAGTTATACCACAGTCCCTCTGTTTATTCGCGAATAATAGAGTTCAAGTTCAACAATAGTGCGATATTAGGTTGTTTAATGAGCAGTTTCAATGGACATTCTCCATTAATATGACAAACTGTTAATACAACTATTATTAACTTCATAGAGTTACGCGGCGGTATATCAGGAACACATATTATTTACACATCATCGTAGCTCGTGGCCTTGTTTTCGTTAACTTGTTTCGGAAAAAAATTCTAATCATCTGCCAATCAATAGAAAAGTCTTAAAAACTGTCTGTACATCATTCAGAGTTTTAAATCACATGTACGTGAAGGTAGATCCAGGACGCATGCGTATAAGAGTTTTCAACAACTGAATGCTACTATGTACCATATTGTCTTTATCAAGTTATATTATAACAACAGCAAAACAAATTATTTAAACATGCTAAAAAATACTCAGTGTTATTCACATAACGTCTGTGAAAGTCAACCCAATGCACCACAATTCAACCCAATTTGTTCATGGACGTTATTTGTTTTTTTTATATTATTGTAGTCGGGTTTAGCAGTCAGTAATATAGTATATAGTATTACATGTTCGTATTAAACCAACATAATACCAGATATGTTCGTATATCGTATTACAGGGTTCGTATTAAACCAACATAATAACAGATATGTTCGTATATCGTATTACAGGGTTCGTATTAAACCAACATAACACCAGATATGTTCGTATATCGTATTACAGGGTTCGTATTAAACCAACATAATACCAGATATGTTCGTATATCGTATTACAGGGTTCGTATTAAATCAACATAATTCCAGATATGTTCGTATATCGTATTACAGGGTTCGTATTAAACCAACATATACGAGATATGTTCTTATATCGTATTATAGGGTTCGTATTAAACCAACATAATACCATATATGTTCTTATATCGTATTATAAGATTCGTATTAAACCAACATATACTAGATATGTTCCTATATCGTATTACAGGGTTCGTATTGAACCAACATAATACCAGATATGTTCCTATATCGTATTACAGGGTTCGTATTAAATCAACATAATCACATATACGTTCGTATATCATATTACAGGGTTCGTATTAAACCAACATAATACCAGATATGTTCGTATATCGTATTACATAGTTCGTGCTAAATCAACATAATACCAGATATGTTCGTATATCGTATTACAGGGTTCGTATTAAACCAACATAATACCATTTATGTTCGTATATCGTATTACAGGGTTCGTATTAAACCAACATAATACCAGATATGTTCGTATATCGTATTACAGGGTTCGTATTAAACCACCATAATACCATATATGTTCTTATATCGTATTATAAGATTCGTATTAAACCAACATAATACCAGATATGTTCGTATATCGTATTACATAGTTCGTGCTAAATCAACATAATTCCAGATATGTTCGTATATCGTATTACAGGGTTCGTATTAAACCAACATAATACCAGATATGTAATTCGTATATCGTATCACAGATATATTTTATTTATATTCAATGTCAGTTCAATAAGAAATGTTAGTATTTTTTATACATACATGTACTAGGTTATATCATTTCAGCCAAAAACAACTCACTTGTGTTACTGCCACTGTAATATATAATCTTTCTGTGCAGATTTTGATCAAATTTAGTTTTCGAGTCTTATCCGTGCATATTAAGTAGCTAATTTGCACAATCACAACTTGCTGGTAATCTCAAACTTCTAATGTCATCGCTCTTTTATTGACAGCTGGGAATATTCATTTCCTGGATGCGTTTTTATAAAAACAAAAAACAGTGCTTGCATGTAAGATTATTCGCCTCTTGTTGGATGAAAACTGTTTACGATCGTTACTGATCGTCAATGAAGTTGGTCTCGTGGGGCAACGGTTCAAGGCACATGGGCTTGTCAACTAACGCCGGCGAGCACTATGGGATTCGCCGACAGTTGACAGGCCCCTGTGGTTCAATGGATTGTACAGTACTTCTAATGCACTGTGTGTTGCCATGTATTCACAACATCGTTGGCAAAACACGCAATGTAATACGTATGTAATATCCATTCTCAGTTTTATGTTCGTGTTACACTTCGTTCAAGGAGCACAGCAATGTTATTTGTTGTACGTGTACCTGCAAAACAATGGAGTAGTTCAAATACTCCATCCGGTGTTTTGGAAATCAAGTTCTCAGTAAAGTGTCTGGAATGTTGCAAAGTCCCTCCCTCCCTGGGCCCTCCCCCAGTAACTTCCTACCAGGCGAGTTGAGTATATACAACTATTTTGCGCCTGCTGCTGCTTATTCGACTTATTGTGTAAGTTAGTGTGGAAGGATTTTGACATATACTCTTGTTAGAAATACAATTATAGTTTACATGCAAATAATGACAAAATATATTTGCAGTTACATAAATAAAATTTGCTACACAAGCAAGGTCATTCTTATTACAACATACACAGCACGGGAAGGGGGCAGCCCTACCCAACGTACACGTGGAACGGTCACAATATGCAAATCAGCATGCTCGAGTCGGTGCTCAATGGCACATGTGAAAGGTAATAATTACAAATGAGGGCAGAATTAGAAGTACATTTACACCAGTCAATTTTATTGAGTCAAAAACCTCGTTACTGATAACGGTGAATATTATTATTTAACCAGAAATGTCTGTGCGTTCTAGGTCGCGTTGGATCGAATAAATCGGTTGAAAATGCCACGTTCTTTCCTGGTCAAAAAGGAGAGTGATCTGCCAAACGAAGAATGTGACGGTATGTACGAGTGTATGTTTTACGAGGTTTCTGTCGAAACAGTGATTTCACGCAACCATGTTTACACACTAGTGTATTTTTATATTCACATGACATAGTTGCTAAGATAGAAAGTCGTGCTTCATTTTTTGCAAATTATGATCCCGCCCGGCGCAGCTCGCGGAAAACCACCTTTGTTCATGCTATTCGCTTATTCACTTACGGTAGAACAAATAAATTTATCAAAATGCATAAAAATAAAGGTAATGTTTTCTCAAACCATAGTCCCTCAACACCTCAAACAAATGTATGCTCTCATTCCCCGACGAACACGAGTGTGTGACGTTGTAGAGAAAGGGAATTCAAGATGGCCGTTGTTCTTTTGTTTGTTATGGTCACGCCCTTAAACAAACGTGTGGATTTATAGTAAGACAGTTTTTGATTTTTTTTTAATAATTTTCTTCATAAAAAAGTTTCATGAATACATTTCTCTAAATATTGGTCATTTTGTGGTCGTTATGTTTTCAAGATTGTGTATGTACATGTATCCATGGTATCCACACCAAAATTAACCACCTACAATGAATATACCAATTTTGGTTTGTTCCTGCCTCAAGTCAGTGTCATGGCGTACCAAGCCACAAGAGGCCGGTAACTAGTAACGGCTACGGCATTCTGATTGGGCCGTCATTTTCTCGTTGCTTGTTCTATTTCCCTTGGTCACCTGATGTCAGTACTTACTACGCTCGTAGCCCTAGAGCAGGGGTTTTATTTTACTCTCGAAATTTGGGTAAATATAAAACTGTTTGTTTTGTTCTTTGCACAGAAAGGGCAGGAAATGCCAGAAACATCTCAAATATGCAAGTGTAAGCCATCCCACGCCATCTAGTGGTGGAACACTTCATACAATAACATACATCTGAATCCTATCGGACATGCACACAAGCTACATTGAGTCCCTCAAATGCGAAATGCTCAAATGCAGTAATGTGCATGTAGGAATCAAAATGAATTGCATGTAGAAATAATGAAAAGTTTGCACATAGATTTCCAAATTATGATTTTAGATGGCGTACTAGGGTTATCAAACCATACTTATTTTTATTTAACCTGAATAAACACTATAACACCTTACCCCAAAACCTAATGCTACAATACGTAATTCATAATTTATCAAAAAATAGTTCACAGAACATTATGTGGCCATGTTTTGATTCGCTATAATCCAGTGTTTACTCAGACTAATTTTGACTTGTTTTCGGGGCATATTTTGTCAATGTTGAAATTTCATTGAAATTATTGTGAAGTTTATTCATCAAGAAATTTTTTTCAATAGATTACTACACACCCCTATTCCAATATTAGATCAATACAATTTTATAATATTTTTTTGTTATTGCTACATCATCGTTTGAATCGCACAGTTTCGCTAAAGCCGGCCATTCATAACCGGCCCACGAACCCATGCGTGATCGTGTTAGGAAAAGCTGTATTTCACTGCAGCTAAATTGAGTCATTTGATTGAGCGGGCCAAGGAGCTGGCGCCACCAATCAGAGTTGCTGTATCATAAATGTAAAGAACGAAGGAGCTCATAGCAGATTAAAACAATGGTGTCATGTAGGCTTTGTGCTGATTCACTGCGAGTCAAGAACAGAAGGTCTATATTCGTTGACACATTTCCAGAATTTCTTATTCCAACGTTGAAAATTGTTTGTAGGCAAGTGATTGAGGATGATGGAATGTCTAAATATTTGTGCAAACCGTGTTTTTGTAAACTAACAAAACCATCGAAACTGATAACATATCGGCTTGCCCGATTTGATCTTCGTTTCAACACAATCGAAGAACTGTGGTTGCAACAAACGTTGCGTCAATTTCCTCAGATACAGCACTATGCGCTTTCTTTTTATGACCAGTAAGCTCATTCAGAGACAAATCTAGCAACACGTTTATTTGATTCTGCCATTTTAATTTTACCAAGTAATGTGTGTAAGTTTCTTTTGTGAGTTCTGATTGGATGATTCAAATGAGCTGAATGGAATTTTATAATCGTTAGAGGGAGTGCGACATACAGTAAATCGTGGTGAAATCTGCCAAGGGTTAATGTTAAGATTTCGGCCGAATAAATGGTCCTTGGCTGGCGAAGATGTTGCTACATAGACTGTCAACAGTTCCTCTTGGCCTTGTGTTTTTTAACTTTTGTGATTTAATCAAATGCTATAATGCATTTGTGAAGTGGAGATAAAATAGTGAACTGGAAATTATGAGATCAATTAAACATTTTGAAAACCCATTTCACCTGTTTTTGCAGACTAGCTCCACCTGTATGCAAATTTTACTACATCATCCAGATGCATAATTATTAGCAAGGCTGGTCCTTTTAGCCTATAGCAATCTTTCCGGCCTTATGGTCCTCACTTGAAAAAAGGATTTTTACATAAAAGTTCAAAAACCTATACTATACTTAATAATACTAAAGTTATGAAACAATTCTGCTGTGACAGACACATGACCAATAATGGCCTTCCCAATTTTTCTTTTCAAATATTCTAGCAGAAAAACTGCCCAGTTTAAATTCACCTTGATTTCATGAAAGTTTGAGATGCTTAATAATTTTTTTTTCCCAGGAACTGAAGAAGCAGCAATAATGAGTGACAAAGAAAAGATGGAGAAAAGAGATGTGGAGGACAGAGAAGAGGAAGCAAATAACAGAAATGAGAATAGAAGTGGAGATGATGCTGAAATCCAATCTGAGATGAAAAAACAAGATATTGAAAAGAATAGGAATGTAAATGAATCAAAAAACAAAGATGAAAACTGTGATGCAAGTGTGGAGAAAAAATGCACTGCTTCCAGTATTGATAAAATGACCAGTAAAGGCAAACAGAAAGTAGAACAAAAAAGTGATGAAGATGATGGGAATACGCAACAGCGAACTAAGAAAACTTACGAATGCTGTGAGTGTGGAAAGGTTTTCAATGCCCAGTATACTTTAACACGACATCAACCAGTACATACAGGTGTGCGCAAGTATGCGTGTAATGTCTGCGGTAAAACCTTCCGTCAGGGTAGTACACTGTGTCGTCACAAAGTCATCCACTCGGATAATAGACCGTTTAAGTGTCAAATCTGCAGTAAAGACTTCAATCGTTCATCATCATTGATTGCACACATGAAAACACACTGTAAATCTAAGCCACACGTTTGTTATATGTGTGGGAAGGGATTTCACCAGAAAGGTAACTTGAAGAATCATATGCATACACACACGGGAGAGCGACCGTACCAGTGTCCATGCTGTGAACGCTGCTTCAATCAACTCTCCAACCTCTCTTACCACTTACAGCAAGCACATTCTGATAAAAAACTATTAACTTGTCATGTCTGCAAAGAAACATTCCACAGAAAGTATGAATTAAGAAAACATGAAATGGAAAACCATAAAATTAATTACCCATGTCGGGAACCACCACGGTATGCACGTGACAAAAAAGGAAAATGTAAGAGCAAATGTGTTGAGGTTGGTAACGATGAAATGAATATAGACGACTGCAAAGATGATATTGAACAAACTGCCTTGGCTCATTTGAACACTATGCAAAATACAAATGAAAATAACGATAGAAATGATGACATTCTATATATTATGAATGCTATGTTAGAGACTAACAATAATGAACCAAACAAGGAAGAAACAGGAACAGGATCTGATGAAAACACTCAAAATGTAACTGTCGTTGATCCAGAAATTGTGAATTTACAGAAAACCTCATTGGTAATGTTTAAATTTGAGCAGCTTAATCACTTGCAGGTTGTTAATTCGGACATAACTCCAGCAGCAGAACACAACACACAAGAAGATCACTAGGTGTATTAACGCTGCAGCTACAGATCTGATTTGTACTGTATTAGGCATGGCTTTTGTAAAACATTATTTGCATAATAATTTGAACCCTTTTTCTATGTCTTTAGTGATCACAATTGGTCATCTGAAGACATTAAGCCTTCATCATCACATGTATATGCATTATTTTCAAAGACAAAAGCAGGTTGAGGATGTTTATTAATTTATCTAAGAAATGCCTGAATACCAACATGTTTATCAATCAGAGTTGGCAATGGACATTTAGCAACATGTTGATTTGCCATAGAGGGTGCTATTTAATACATGGATCTGGCTTGGTAAAAATTGGTAAAGTGATGGCCAAATATTAAATTACATTTAATTTTTTCTCTGTACCTGACAATAAAACGAATGATAAAAAACAACCTTGATTGTGCAAGTTTCATACTTTAAGTGAAATTGGTAAAGATTATCTATCGCATAAATATTGATGTTGCAAATACAAGAACAAACACAAGAACATAAGTTGATCCGAAATACTGAAGAACCATTTCCATAATTTACAAACCACTCGTGCCAAAATTTTAATTAGATGTTCAATTAACATTTGTTTAACATGCATACATTTTGTAACTCTAAAGTTAATAATAATGAGTTTGGTTAACGTCCGTTATTGAATGTAGACATTTAACAAAGACTATAACACCTATGGTGATTGTAATTTAGGCATGGTTTCCAAAATATTATTTTTGTGACTGTTCTTGTACTTCTATGTTTGTAACTCAATTCAGCACATCGAGTCGCATGACTTGTACTTGGCATAATATCATGCATGTGGCACATGGCCTAAACTTTGCATAATACCATGCAGATACTAATTATTATGCAAATTAGGTAATATGTGGGCACTTGAGTGAAATTTTTTTTTTTTTTTTACATTTTCTTATTCAGGCAGTCATGGCTAGATAGTGTTAAAATGTCAGCTTTGTCCATGGTGGGACGTAAAAAAAAAACATTTTAAAATATAAGGAACTGAGGCATGTGCATGTGATTAAAAGTCCTGAAAGTTTGTTTACGTTACTTTTTGATTGACAAGTCACTGTTGACTGATATATGCAAATGAGTTGCTGGAGAGTGTTGGCCTCAGTAGGATGTACGATGTGTGACTTCCTGTTCTGGCTCCCTGTTTACTTACCTCGAGCATGGTCAACTAGCCTTGCAAACTACAAAAAAATAAATAAAAAAACCAATATGTTGACAAATTCTAGCCTGGCTGCTTTCATTGGTATACTGTAAAATAATTTGATTTTTATTTATTTTCATGTAGACGAAAGGCCCGATAGCACGATTTAATTTTCATGTAGACGAAAGGCGCGATAGCACGATTTAATTTTCATGTAGAAGAAAGGCCCGATAGCACGATTTAATTTTCATGTAGACGAAAGGCCCGATAGCACGATTTAATTTTCATGTAGACGAAAGGCCCGATAGCACGATTTAATTTTCATGTAGACGAAAGGCCCGATAGCACGATTTAATTTTCATGTAGACGAAAGGCCCGATAGCACGATTTAATTTTCATGTAGACGAAAGGCCCGATAGCACGTTTTAATTTTCATGTAGACGAAAGGCCCGGTAGCACGATTTAATTTTCATGTAGAAGAAAGGCCCGGTAGCACGATTTAATTTTCATGTAGACGAAAGGCCCGATAGCACGATTTGATTTTCATGTAGACGAAAGGCCCGATAGCACGATTTAATTTTCATGTAGACGAAAGGCCCGATAGCACGATTTGATTTTCATGTAGACGAAAGGCCCGATAGCACGATTTAATTTTCATGTAGACGAAAAGCCCGATAGCACGATTTAATTTTCATGTAGACGAAAGGCCCGATAGCACGATTTAATTTTCATGTAGACGAAAAGCCCGATAGCACGATTTAATTTTCATTTAGACGAAAGGCCCGATAGCACGATTTAATTTTCATGTAGACGAAAGGCCCGATAGCACGATTTAATTTTCATGTAGACGAAAGGCCCGATAGCACGATTTAATTTTCATGTAGACGAAAGGCCCGATAGCACGATTTAATTTTCATGTAAATCAAGGTCACAATTTTTTTTTTCTCTTGGTACATAGATTTCAAGATTTTTCGCATTGTTGACGAAACTAAAAAATGTTTACTAATTTTTTTTTCTCCAAGGGCATTTTAACACTGAAGTAAACAATTTAAAGATCACTGTGCTGATAGCTTTGCGATGCACTGTTGTTGCTACTGCTGTTGCTATCATGGATAACTAACTTTTCAATGTCAAAATACACAAATGTAAAATCCTCAGATAATTAAAAAATACCCTGGAGATTACAGCAAAATTGGCAACTAGGTGCTGTTTTTACCTAAAATCAATCGAGTACTAGTATGTGCATTGTCCTAGAGCATATATGTACTAAGTTCTATTGAAATGTAATGATTAGTACTTGAGTTATTAGTGGAAAAGCCAAAACATGCCTAATTATTATGCAAATTTGGTAATTAATAAGCACATATTTTTACCTAAAACTAGCCAGTTCTGCGCATTTCACTGAAACACCTATGTACCAACTTTCATTGAAATCTGAAGAGCGGTTCTTGAAATATCCGCGGAACAGATATGCGCATATACAAACAGGGTAACATCGAAGACAAAAAAGGTCCCGTAAATTCGTACAACGCCACCAACGACAATAGTCCAAAATTTGTACGTTCACGCTGCGTCTGGAGGCCGCCATTTTGAAAGAAAAACAAATTATCCGCCAAGGAAACGTATTTTCTGCCGTTTGCGTGGTTTGAAAATTAACATAACTGTGTCGTTGTGTATTGGAACTGTATCGGGGTTATTTTTGATATTATTCTGTTGCGTTCATTCGAACGCCTTTGATTATCGGATCATTATTGAACAAAGTCAAAACAATACAGCGTGTTCGTCGGCTTGGCACCCATTAACGTGCATACACCATGGACGCTGACTTGTATGACGAATTTGGTAATTATATTGGTCCAGAGTTGGCCAGTGATTCCGACGACGATGCTGCTGATCATGACGATCAACGATATGAATTTGAAGCGGTAAGTTGGTAAATTGTTTGGTCAGCAAGACACTTTCCACCATAACAAGAGACTTTCTATAGACACTATTGGAGCCAAACACTCATTCATTATCGGTTAGGGGAAATCACCACCGGCCCTCGAATTTGGCTGGGCAGAATATTGACTATTACATAACATGTAGTATCAAAATTATATATTTTTTTCTATTAGATCTTATTCTAATGTTAACCATTAAATTTATTATCGGTGATTTGGTCAACCCATTTACTACTATTCCGGTTTGAGTCCCGTTTACTACAAGTACCCACTTGGTGATAAACAACGCGCAGAACCTAGCTGTGTATAAACAAGACACCAAAAATATTAATAATCGCGCACCGGCGAGTCAAAACAAAGACACATCATCTCACTGGGCACTGACTGTCAACACTAATACATGTATATTTCGCCATACTCATTTTTAATATTTTTGAAACAATGAACTTTGAAAAGTACATGAAATATTTGTACAGCACAAAATTTTAAATGAGAACTTAAATATTATTATCTACTCCACAGAAACACAATGTTGAATGAACTATATCTGTTCATTATTTCAAATCAGTTCAAATGTAGTTACGAGTAACGCCTGATACGAATTATAACACAATATATAACTCTGGAAAAATAATTTAAATGTTATATTACATGTAACAGCCTGAGAAGAGGTAACAAATAGAGTGGTTTACGGACAGAACATGATGTACACTCAGGTGTATTTAGATTTTTTGTCAGAATGCGATCCCTTGTAAAATTCATGGACGAATCTGGAATCCAAATGCCGGCAATAGGACACAAAACATATGGTCACTCACAGAAAGATGTCTGGAACATTACGCAAAGTCACTGAACATAACTTTAAATGTATTACCGGTACTCTGGGTGAATCTATTAAACAGTTGGGAACGGTCGTCATACTTTAGTTGGATGCTGATTTCGCTTTCAAATATATGAGGGAAAGTTTTCTATTTTCATCGTGTAATGACTCTGTGAGGTGCTCGTATACAAGGGATTGTTCATGCAAAAACAATGAATGAAGTCAAATTTTATTAGCGGTTAGTTTAATGTTACCCCAACAAATTGTTTTGATGTTAACATTTATTTTCTCCCTGATTTGTAGGAAACTGTTTCTCAACTTGTCTCTTTATTTAGTTTCAATCAGTGTTCAAGTTGGCTACCCGCATATAGTAAATATCGGTTGATTAAACACATTTATCATAATATCACTTGTACACCAGCTGACTTTCACATTATCACGCCTCGCAAAGCAAATTATTCAGAGGAATCCAGACATGTACCAGCTATGTAAAAGCATTCTATGTTCCCTAATGCAATATAGACTCGCCCAGAATGGACACGACCACAAGTCGGCGCCAGCGATATTCGAAAGCCAACTGTTTAGTCAAAACCCAAGCAGTTAGCCAATTCACTAGCGAGTTTGCAAATTGGCTGCCCCAATACTTCTGAGACTTGCTGTAACATGATAAACACTGTTACGTCACTGAAAGCAATGTATGTACCAAATTTTACATCACATTGTTTTACGTCGACTGGTGAACTGAAATGTTGTCTATGAAGTATAAATTTAGATAAACTTACATGTATAATACAGATATGCGAATATACTCCACTATTTGTCTTTGCTATTAAGATACCATCTGTATTCACTAAGCATGCAATTACAAGGAAAAATTGAAATGATTGAATTGTAGTGTGTTGTGTTCCCATTTCCCGTCTAGTGTATTTTAATTTCTTGTCATGTTTACAGTGAGTAGAAGCGTTTATTGTTTTGTTTTTCGCCAATATTGATACTTTTAATGACGTAAACATAACACACTGGTTGTCTGGTTTCGATTATCAAATTATCACTAATTGCTTACTTGTGGTAAACGGGACACTCAACCCGGAATAGTAGTAATGTACATTCAATTTACTGTAAATGCGTTATTCACTGGGTTTTAATTTCACTAATAAGTAAAATTCGCTAAATTAAATTTATGTGCACATGTAAAATAACAATAAAACTCATTATTTCCTTGACAAATTCAAGAAATTAAAACACAGTAAATATGCTCAAAACACCAAAATAGTGAAATTAAATGTCAGTGAAAATAAATGGTTTTACAGTACTTGTAACATATTAGATCTGATACACCAGAAACTGATTTAACAATGGACAAGAAGTGCATCATTGCTACTGTAGAAGGGTTAATTATTCACTGGCTTTTAATTTTGCTTATTTCGCTGACTGAAAAATGCGCTAAATTTAAACCCAGTGAATATGTAAAATTTAGCATAGAACACATTATCTAAATGATAAAACCGTGAAGTTAAAACCCAGTGATAATGCCTGAAATGCTAAATCAGCGAAATTTAAACCCAGTGAAAATTTGTCATTTTACAGTATATCATTCAATATAGTAATGATAATAGGAACACAATGTTACACTTTTTTCAAGCACAATCCAAGTATGTGTTGTAATTTATGAGGTCAATGTTCACTTAAAACAGCCATACAACAAAATTATTTTGAGAGTGGCTTACTAATAATTGAATTTTTGAAAACAATTCACCTTTGTTTTTTATCGTACAAGGAAAAACAAAGTAAAAATCTTCAATAAATTGGGAGATATTCTCCTGGTGTTTTAACTTACTAGTAATTAGAATTGCATGGTTTCCAGTTTCACATAGTAATCACAGTGGACTTCTAATTGAGAATAGTTCCTGTTTTATTCAAATTCTCAAATCTGCATGATATATGCAGTGGCATGGATTACCAGTAGAACAGTTGTTTATAAGAAGCACAGCAAAAAATGGCAGTATTGTATGGTAGATAATTATGTTACAATGTATGACTTACTGTAAAATCTGTATTACAAACTGCGGAGTTCATGATGCGTTGTCACTAAGGTCAACCGTTGACATCAAACTTAGCAAAGCCAAATTCTATTGGCAGGTAATAGTTCAGTATTTAATTTGTAACCAATTAGAGCATGGGTAACATACTCGTAGTCAATGTGACGTCACAAGGTTGGGAGAATACAGCTTTAGCGATCGGATCAAGATTTTGCGTGGAATCGAGCCAGATTTTTGCACGTCTTTCATAAGTTAATACAAATATTGCAAGTATTTCTGAGTTTCCGTATTATCACCGATAAATTGAAAATTTGTTGTAGTTGAATTGTGATTCATTAATTTTTTCCATTGAAAAATATGTCAGCCGACTGGGACCGGCGATGCTAAATACAAACTCTGGTATTATTTATACATGTTGAGTGATGATTATCCTGCGAAGGGTTCTAGCTAGACTGGCGAAGTCGGGATTTCTTTTTTGTTTTACAAAAAAAATATTATTGTCAATTTAGCCTTTTTAACGTGATCGCAAAAACTAGCGTGACTGCAGTTAGGTTAGTTTTCGCACAGTCCTTCTATCACATAGAGGGACTGTAATTTTCGCGATCACGCTAAAAGGACTAAATGAAAATTAATTATTTCTTTTTGTAAAACAAAAAAGAAGTCCCGACTTTGCCAGTCTAGGTTCTAGCGTGCGTTTTGCAACATTCCTAAAGTGGAACACTGGTGGAGATATTGGATATTGTCGTGTGGAAACGGATGAGGGTCAAACACTTGTTGTCGAAATATGGTGTAACCTCTGTGCCAAATATATGCAGAAAATTCAGGCCGATGTAACCATCAAAGGGCAAGCCAAAAAAGACCTAATGATTTACATGAATGGGACAAATAGCGTGACAAAACATAATGTCTCTAGACATTTGTCATCTGACAATAACATTGATCCTGATTAAAATGTGAGATTGACTGTGACACAATTTCAAAGTAAGTTGTGTGATTTAAAAATAAATAAATATAAAAGAATGACAACATGTCTGTAGTATTTTATTTCCATAATAATTTATTCATTATAATTATAGTCATAGGCATACATGTAGTTACTAAAACACCCTGGGTCCACCCTTATTGCAAATCATATAATTTTCTAAAATCACTCGCCTCACTGCTTTTAGGAGAGAAATTTGTAATCACTCCCATAACTCGCCTCAGTGCTTGTAGGAGAGCAATTTTTCACTCACCATCCATTTTCAAAAGGCAAGCACTGATGCAACTGAGGGGATGTGGCGTATTTTACCATAAACACACTTGTGTCATTTATATAAGCATTACTATCGGTAATACTAAATGTACAAGATTTTGCTTACAATGTCTGACCAGTTTAACTTTGGGATTATTTATATTTGCAGGCTGAAGACGACATTGATGAACCAATGGAACATGATGTACCTACACAAGCTATAATTCTTCATGAAGATAAGAAATATTATCCAACATCAGAGGAAATCTATGGGCCGGAGGTAGAAACCATTATACAGGAAGAAGACACGCAACCGCTTACTGAACCCATTATAGCTCCTGTAAAGGTTAAAAAGTTTTCTCTTGTAGAACAAGAATTACCAGTGACTACCTACGACTCAGAGTAAGTAGTTTTTTTACTAGTCCTGAGTGGAGGTGGTGCTGATAGTGGTGCTGGTAGTGGTGGTGGTGGCACTGGTAGTGGTGGTGGCAGTTAATCCTCTTACTCCATTACAGAGATGGCCATAGATGCAGTTTTTGATTTTGCTGTTAATTTTTTATTGCCAGTAAAACGGTTGTTTTGTTCAGGCCTACAAGCAGGCCTACATTTAAATGTAGTTTGGCAATGTAAATGGCCATTTATTGATCCATAATACCATTAACTTCTGCTTGGTACTGCAAGAAACATGGTTTACAGAGGTAAATACCACAATCGACCATGTTAGCGCTCAATGTCCTCAACTCAGAAAATTATGAATTTAGTTGCGTCATCATTGACTTTTACAATTAAGAAACAGAAATGGTCCCAAAAAATATACACATTTTATTACAATATTAATCACGTACCATCCGAATTTACAAGGTTAAATATAGTCTGTTGGAACACAGTTGAAGTCAAAATCTTCATCATTATCTTCATTGATGAATTATCATTTACAAACTCTTGATGATGATGATGATGTTTTCCTGCAACAGCGTCCTTTGACCTCATGGGTCAAGTTTGTTATTAACCAATCAGAAAGCTGTGTTGTACTGACGCAATTCTTTGAAAATTCCTGAAAACTTTCTGGTATTCAATGCGGAAGTGAAATATTAGTGTCGAATTCAGGTTTGTTATAATTGATTTCAGCGAGACTGCCGATAAACGTCCCATTTTTTTTTTAAACCCAAACTGTCATTTAACAGCCCAGAATCCAGGAGTAGGGATGTACCATGCAACCCTGTAATAGAAGTCTGTCTTGATCTGCTGAAAACTGTGATATTTATGGCAGGAAAAGACTGCTATATTTTGCAACATACTGCAGAGCTAGCTAGTCAGTTATGTATTAGAAAGCTTGTTCATTTCCCTTCATTGAAAGTCAAGTTTGACCACAGTCAGCAGCTGTCATCTACTGTACAGTGCCTGCAAAGTCATCAGACTCGAGATGATCAGTATAGTAATTTGTGTGACACCTGTTAGATATGGAGAATATAATTATCCTAGTATTCAATAGTGAGGACATCAATGAGCCTCACCTTGGCTTCCTTTTATATGCAAATACTGAATCTTTACAACTTTTTGCAAAACCTGATTCTACATTTGTAACAACAAAGATAAAATAATTTAGTTCACACAAGTTGTGTTGTAGTACTGCTAACTAGTTGGCACAATTCTGATGTGGATTCTGTATTCATTAGACTCTACAGATTAATATGTGCTACATAATGATCTCATATTTCCCTACTCCAACATGATTTCTCTTGTCATGTTTGGGTTCTACAGTGAGATTACATCTAATCTGATGACAGTAACTACTCGAAAACTAAATGGTATTTTAGAAGCATTGTTCCTCTTTCTGTTTAGCTCTAGTCAACTTTGTCGAGCTCATACATGTGTGAGTGAATGCCCAATGGCACCCTCATTAACTTTTCAACTTCTTCTTGGAAACTACAAGTCTGACTACTTTGACACTTGCTGTATACACAATGTATGTATCTTGAGTAGATCTCTTCTAGATTTCTTCACTTCCTGATGATCTTTAATTTTGGTGATTATTGTTGTCATTTTAGGTAAAAAGTAATATTTTTGACTGCTTGTTAAAAATTGCTAGCTCAATTGCTTTGATACATGTAATATTATACATATACATGTAGGTACCTCAGGTGGGCTGATCTCAGATTTGTTCATTTTGTGATGATATCTTTAATTCTCTAATTGAAATATGCAATGCATTGCTAACAGCAGAGCTACATGTACATGTGTCTCAACCGAGAAACTGCTTGTTTTGTACATGTGTCTCAGCCGAGAGAGACTGCTTGTTTTGTACATGTGTCTCCCCAATGCTTGAGTTACAAGGCAAATATTTGGAAATAGAAATCATTCAAAGAGCACAGGTCTATCCAGTGTATACATTTACACACATTGACCAACTTGTTTAAGGTAGAGATGCAGTTTATTTGGCTTGCTTTTTAATTGAGTAATTAGACAATGAAGATGGTATTATATATCCAACATGTCATATATTTTCTGAAAGCTTATTATACAAACTTTGTAAAACTTGTTTTTATTTTAAATATCCAGAATGCGTTTTTGATTTTGGGTCAAAAATATGCTTTTTTGGACAAAAGTGGTTTAAAAAAAATTAGCTTAAAAACTTCAAGTCCGTTTGTGG